CTCTATTGCTGGGCATATGAACAAACAATGGAAATGCCAAAATGACAAACGTCCTCCAATTCATTTTACATATTTAATTTGCAGAGAAATGCAGAAGCTCACACTGGAAATTCCTGCAGGATTAGCTTAGGGGGGTCGAACAGGATGATTCAGACCCTTCTAAATATTTAGCAACTCAAATATTCCCTCATTTTTTTTAATGATATATCAGAACTTGTACTTTAAAAAGGCCGGAAACTTATGTAGCTGGGTGAAATCATACAACTGTCTCCCTTGTACATGCAAAACCTTTCCGCTGGACAGGTTAACACTACATGTTATTCTACTTAAAATATATTAAAAAAGGAAGGAATGATGAGCTCCCACCTAACAAGGCCAAAAGACAAATGGCAATGCAGGCTTGCTCACTGAGGCCAAAGATGAGCCAGAGTTTCCCTGTGTTTTGATTTGCAAAAGCAGATTTATGGTTCTTGCATTTTTAGTGTGAAATACAAATTATAATTGTATATCAAAAGCAAAATTCCTACAGACGTCATCGAGACCAGTTTTTATTTCAGTCTAGTTTTGGTTGTAATTACAAACAACGTGTAAGATGTTAGTCATGGAATTCTGATACAAACACATTGCTTCATGTGAATACTCAAAAAAAAAAGAATGGGCTTGCTTAGGTGGGTAGGTGTTCATCCCTTTACATATGGATCACAAAAACAAAGTCTAAATAAGGAATACAAACCAGACTCAAATACAACTGGGGTGATTGAAAGCAATTCTTAATTTTGAATTTCTTGGAGAAAGGCCAGACTGTAATTAGATATTTTTGAACATAATTTCCTCAGGGATTTTAATAACTACAATATAAAAAGCTAATGCAGGTTTCCATACCAGAATTTTATTTGTCCTTATTCTCTTAATAATACACAAATTGACTGTGTGTAAAATTTGTACTATCCAAATTCCCTAGAGAAAAGACTACAACACTAGATTTCAGCTAGCTGAATATTCAGTCTGTAATCCCTTTTTTGTCCTAAGCAAATATAAACTCTCAAAAGGAAATCTAAGGAAATGTCATGTATTAATGCTATCCGTTACCTTGGGCTGTTTAAAAAGACATGTACTTTGTTTGTCAATATTTAGTATCTTGTGAAAAAGTGCTAAATCTTATGCCAGGAAGTATCTACAGACAATGAGCTGAGGACTGAGGTACATAGAGTTTCTTTTTTTTTTTTTTTTTTCCATGCTTACATGGCTCTTGTATTTTTCTCCTTCTGAGCAATGATTTCAGTTCACAAAGTTACTCTTGCAATTTTTGTGTTTTTGTAAATCCTGATGTATAAAAGAGCATAGCATAGAAATGAATGTTATGTTGGGCTTGAATACTTTACAGAGCTATTATTAAAGAAAATGTACAACGCATTTAAGTCTTACTCATGCATGTACAAAATGGTGTGTATATATATATTTTAGGAATAATAAATTTTTAAAAAATATTTTATAAGAATAAATTATATATAATTTTCCCTGTTACTTAGACTATTTATAATTAAAAATCAGTAAGGATTTTTTTTTTTTTTTCATTTCTTAACTGCAGTAAAAGGCAAGATAGGGATTATTGATTTGCACACTTTAGAAAGAGGCACTGATTTATAATGCCATGGGTATCAGCTGGGATTTTAAGTGCAATCACTTCAACACAGAAGTTTAGACTGCAATTTAACCTGATGCCTTAAAAACTTTGTCCCAGTTTCTGTCATGGCAGCGATTTCCCTTTTCTTTTTATTATGCATTAGTGGGGCTTGCCACATGCCTGATGTCCCATTGGATAAAGAGGAGAGGCAATGCACAGCTCTGAAAGGTCGCTGTGTCAGCTAATGAGGCCCCACACCACAACCTCTACAGTGGCTGCAGATCACAGATGGAAACTGTAAGACCTGCAGCACCATCTGCAAAATCTGAAGTGAATACATGTAGTGATGTGCTCCCACCCACCAAGTTATTCCTACTGACAATATTAATTAGACAAACTACTATTTTTATGTTGGCAGAGTGACCAAGAACTGAAAGAGTGCAAGGAAGACACAAATGGAAGAAAAGTTGTATAAAAAGAGAAGCCAGTCCACCTCATTTTAGGATATTTTGTGCAATTTGTGTTTCTTTACCACTGTTGTTCTGTGTTTTAATCTTTTCAGGTCTTTACACATAAGTGTTTTCACGAGCAAATGGAGGATGATAAACCCAACAGTCATTTACTGAATTGCCATTTCCCATGTGAAATGTAGTCTTTAAAAACAGAAAAATGCAAACCACAAAGGCCCCTACTTTCTCACTCTACAGCATATTCATTATCAGATCAACTCACACTACTAATTAAGTTAAGTTTGACTGCTAAATAACTCCCGAAGAGCCAGTTTATCTAAGGTAGCATGTGCACATATTCATTTCTCCTTATACATCACCAGCTGTTATTAATTCAATTCTAGTCACTTCAGACTGCAAATTTGAAATAATTGCCACTATGGAAACACTTTTACAGTATACTTAAAAGGGAGTTAGGGTGTTACTCTACTGATATTGATAGTAATCTTAAAATAGATAGGTAGAGTCCACTCTAGTTATTTAATTTTAGAGTTTGTGAGATATTCAAAAGAATGTGTAGAATTTTCAAGTTTGTTTCTTGACTATGAAAAGCCTTGTCATAAATACACATAAAGTGCAGACATGCGTTTGACAAATAATCTGAAAGTAGGTATACTTACATTAGATAATATGAAGAAGTTCTTTACTGTGAAGGTGGCGAGGCACTGGAACAGACTGCCCAGAGGAAGTTGTAGCTGCCCCTACCCCAAGGCCAAGTTAGATGGGGCTTTGAGAAACCTGGTCTATTGGAAGGTGTCCCTGCCCATGGCAAGGGGGTTGGAATTAGATGATCTGCAAGGTCCCTTCCTAACTCAAACTATTTATGATTCTATGATTCTGTGATTATTCCCTAAAGAAAACATATCCTTTCTGAAAGTATAATTCACCTTTTCAAGCTCACAGTGGTAGTAAATGATTTTTTCATCTGCAACAGCTCCTGTCATCTGGCTGCTGTACTAATATGAGGGTTGAAGGTTGCTTGCAACCTGCTCCCTCACTACCTACCTCCCACCCACATCTTGAAGCATGCTGTGGACTGATGCTTTGACAACTGGTAGATATCTGCTGTGTAGACTATCTGTATGAACAGGTATTAGGAGGAAAAGGTGTACTTTGCTCTCCTTTCAGATTCTGTACAAATACACTGCATTTAATTAGTCATTGCAGCAGCAAGGTTCAAAGAGATCTTCATCACATATCATGAATACTCTTGCTTGTAAAAGGTTTGCAACCACAGGGAGACAAAATTGTCCTCTGGATGCATTTCTTAGACCACTGATAAAAATAAATAGTCTCTCCTGAAGTCAACAACTTTTATCAGGTTTCAGTCATCATAGTACATGTAAGAGAAATGAAAATCTTATGTTCTGAAATGTTTATTTGTCTCATTAATAAAATCTGCATACTTCTAAAAAGCAAAATTCTTGCATTTTTAATAATACACTTCCAATATGTTGCACCCTGCAAAGCCAGTTGGTGTACATAACAAACTATTACTTGATATAGCAAGTTTTGCTTTCCCTTATGGCAAAGGCCATTTATATGAAACAAAAGATTGTGAAAATGAACAACATTCCATGTATTTATCTTCATGTATATCATAAAACATTTACTACTTTTCTGCCACAGGCAAGACCTATCAAGATCATAAGGAGAGGAACTCTAACATCTTTACAAATAAACTTTTTTTTTTCTTTTTTATTGTGATCATGAAGAAGTACCAGTCATATGATGAATATTTTTAAAGTGATCTGAAGAACAGCTTTTTTCAACAACAACTAATGGATGGTTATTTTCTTTTTTCCATTACTGGTATTTAACTGTAAGACTATAACCATGATTAGAAATGAACTTTATCTTTACTGTATGGGGAATGATGGGAAACACATGTTGTACCCTTTAATGAGTCACCCATTGAATTCACAGCTCCCCTGCTGATTTTAATTTACGTGATAGTTTACAAAACAAAACATTTTATGTCTTTCATTTTGATACTGCATTTTGCTTATTTTAATGAAAATATGTACTGTGTTTTCTTGCATTGGGTATTCTTATTTGTGAGCAGTTTCTAACTTCCTATCTAAATGAAATTGCTTATGAAAACATTATTAAAAGTGAAGTGAAATGAAATCCTTAAGCTCCTTTCAAGTAATACAAAGCAACATGTTTATGATAGGTTGTTATTTTTAAAAGTGAACATAACACAATTAACTGAGGTCTACATTTTAAATGTAGCAATGATTTCAGTTTTCTAAAAGGTACAAATCACTTTCACCTTAAGCCCAGTGAATCATCACCATCATCACCAAATTATATTAACTATAGCATTTAAAGTCTTAAACAAGTATCTTAGAATCTAAACAGGTGAAAAGAACTGGAAGCACAAAAGCATGATATGTATAGAGAAGAACTGAAAGTTAGTCAAATCAACAATTCTTATATATTAATCCCAAGCAAATTCACCAAGAATAGCTCTTATTCCTAGAATTATTTCGGTTAATCTTGCAAGTTATAGCCACTTTATGTAGATTTAATTGGGCACCCTGAGGTTGCTCAAATACATACACAAACTTATTGGAAGAAAATACTAAAACAACCTGACATTCATTAGCTGCTGAGAAGCTACATTGAGCCAAATTGTCTACCCAGCTTTATGTGGTGATTCTGGGAATTATTTTCACCATTACTTTACAAAATGACTAAAAGAAACCAGTTTTATGTAAATTTGGGAAACCTGCTGAGGTTCCTGACAATTGATAAAATGAAATTGAGACAAAACAACCAGTGCAAATAAAAAGCAATTTGCATGAATTCTGGTCAAATGGAAAGAAGCTAATGGACATGGCATTTGCGTATAAAGAACTTGCCTTGTAAACTGTAGATTTCTCCAACGCTGTTCTGCCGGGTGATATGATGCCAATACGCACTACGAGGAAGTGAGATCGACTTGGATAATGTCATTGGTTCAGACAGACTGGTCTGGAGCTAAAAACCAAAGCAAATATTAATGGAAGATCACACATAACCATACTTGACAGAAATTCTCAAAACTGTAAATTGAACGGATGTTGTTATGAAGATGTTATGTAAGCTGTGTTATAAGCATTAGCACTGTGAATGCTCAGGAAAAGGCTGAAAAAATGTATTTAGGTATATAGGCTCATTAGCACAGGTTAATATTAAGGGATAGAAATATATTGCTATTTATCTGCAGCTATTCTTGTTGCTTTCAGGATTTTGTTATTTTCTTTATGATAATGACAGAATAACATATGCCTGAAATCTTAAATCCCTCTACAACCACATTTCTTTTTGGCCATTTAACCCCCATATTGGATTGAATACCCAGAAAGAGTCTAAGAGAGAATCTGAGACAACCAGCAGAGAATTAACAATGAAGAGTCATTAATCCTCTAATCATCCACTAAAGTGGAGGCATCTCATCACCAGGAGCAGGATATAGCCTCAAGAGCAAATTTGCCCAGTCTAGGGGACTTTGTGTAACTGAAACTGTGAATTGCATTCTAAGTGTCCATTTGTGCAAGAGCTGTGGCACAGAAACCTGACAGAAGGAATGTAAATTTAGTAGAGAGCTCTGTCTCCAATGGACTATGGACGAGAGTGAAAGACTAGGTTAAGCTATAGAAAAAAAGAAGGATGGAGGACTGTGCATCCTGACAATCTCTTTGGATGTATCTGTACAACTTTTTTTTTTCTGCCTAGAAGAAAAGAGAATGCATTTTTTTTGTATCACTGGCATTACAGAAGATAAAATACATAAAAATAGTGGTATCTAACAAATTGCAATGATTCTGTGGGGCATCATTTCTTCAGGGGATCTCTGGAAGGATCAACAATGAAGGATTAGTTATGTCTGCAGATTTAGAGTGGAAAACCTCTTAAGATCAGGAAAGGCACCAGGATGGTGAGGGTGATACTCTGAAAGGGTGTGACTAAAAAACCCACATTTTCAGAGCTCAGCTATAGAACAGAAGGTATTTAAGGTCTGGATCCTTTACCTCAGACTAATGATTGAGTCCTAGGGATTCCCCATTAAGGATCATGATGCCATATTAAAAAAAGCCATTTTTATGTGTACAAAGTCATGTTATTTTGTAATGAAAATCTCCTAACTTTTAGAGACAGTATCCACCCAAAGAGCTATATTTCATTTTTGAATACTAACACCCACTGATGTGTGGCAGATATTTTGCTTTAGATCAATCTGCTGTAATACTTGCATTGTTTTCTTAAGAACTGTAATCAGAATTACTTCCTGTATACAGTTAATGTCTCTTCTCATTTAATTTGTCAGTGATGTAGATCATTACTGGAAGCTATTCCATATGAAGTGAAGAGCTTGCAGAAACATTTCCTTCATTAAAAAGGTTCCAAATTCTAAACACAGGAATGCTACTTTTAGGGAGACTTGAGGATTTAAAGTTTATTGATGCAGAGAATTTCCTTTACTGTGGAGATTAGGGTGATAAAACTTCTAAGTTATCTTACCATGTTAGTATATTAAAGGAAACAAGGGTAACTTTGTTGAGTAATAAAAATAATATCATGTAACTTCAATACACAAATGACTCATTAATAATTTATTTACTGAAAAGGTAAATTACAGTTTTAAGTCAATAGGCAGTATTTTCTATTGGAATGCATTCTGAAAAAAAATAAATAAAAATCTAGCAAAGGGAACCACTGTGAGTGTGGTTAATTATATCAAAGCTAAATCCATGGACTGATCTGGTGGTTAAAGTTATATCATTATTCCCGGTCTGAGATGATTAGTTCCTGCCTGGTTTGATCTGGGAATTAAATTGAGGCAATTCTCCCCCTCTACTCTGCTCTGGTGAGACCTCCACCTGGGATACTGCATCCAGCTCTGGAGTTCTCTGTACAGGAAGGACATGGACCTGTTGGAATGTTTCCAGAGGAGGGTTACAAAGATGATCAGAGGGCCAGAACACCTCTCTATGAAGACAGGCTGAGGGAGTTGGGGTTGCTTAACCTGGAAAAGCAAAGGCTCTGGGAAGATATTCTTGCAGTGTTTCAGTACCTAAAGGGGGCTTATAAGAAACTTGGGGGCAAGCTTTTAGCAGGGCCTGTAGCAATAGGATGAGGGGCAATGATTTTAAACTAAAGCTATATACAGAATAGGTAAAACAAAGAAATTTATTATAATGACTGATGAAACAGTAGAAGAGGTTGTTCAGAGAAGTAGTAGATGCCCCATCCCTGAAAACATTCAAGGTCAGGATGGATGGGGCAACCTGTCCCTGCCTGTGGTGGGGGCTGGACTAGATGACCTTTAAAGGTCCCTTCTAATCCAAACCACTCTATGAATTCACTGAGGGTTTTTTTGCAGTCTTGCATCTATGAACTGACCTTATCGCTAGGTATGGAAATATAGAGAAAAGTAAAAGCATTATACCTGACTAAATATATATAATACATTAACATATATAATATATTAACATTAAATAAAACATGCATCTAGAATGATTTTGCTACCAATATTTCTCAAATCTGATTAGATGTTAGGAAATGCAAAAACATAATCCAGACTTTTTTCCCCAGTTTAAGAGGGAGAAAATTGATAATGTAATTAGAACTTGGGTAAAAAGACAAGTAGAAATGCATATATCAAAATCACATTAACTCAAGGATTTTTTTTTGCGTGAATAAAAAGTCCATAACTGAAGCATTTTTGTTATCTGACATGATGTACCTAGTACTTAGGTTTCCCCCAGTTTCCTCCAGTGTTTCTTTGATAACTTTCACACAGTGAACATTACATTGGTTTCCTGTATCCAAACCCAAAATAAAAATATTAACTCATACAAAGCCTTTGCATTGTTAGTAATAACTTTATAAGTCTTGAGGACTAGTTGTTTAAAATAGAAATAAAAATATAAATCTATTAATGTGCTACTACTGTAAGTAGTTCCCCATATTTTTCATTATTGTTCTTTTGTGAGACAAGGCTTAGGGCTAAATTTCCTTTTAATTCCCACAGGCTATCTCCATTGACTTAAATAGATTTGTCACTCTGATATCAATAATGAATACAATTCCAAGAATGGAGCCTGTTACATGTACTAGGGTTCTGATCTTTGATCTGTTGAACATATTATTCTCTCATTTTCCTTTTGCATTAAAAAAGTCAAAATGCTGAAGGTGACAGAAAAAACATTTGCCCTGGGAAAAGAACTGAACAATATACAGTTCATTCAATTTTTTAGCCTGCAACAAAGAGGTTTTTTTACAGATATGTTCTGAAAATAGTTTAGTTTATTATGGATAAAACCCCAAAACCACAAAACCCAGCCCATTTCACATTCTTCTGAAACACAACAAAAGAACTAGGTCACATAAGATTAATAAGAATTGTAGTATGGAAATATGAATTAAATATCACTATTCAGATTTTTAATTTCTTTATAATTCAAAATAAGGTTGCTTTGCATGTTATGCCTTGAAAAGGAAGAGGGGTCAAAAAACGTATATAATTTCTCAAGTGTCCATTAGCTTACAGTGGAATAGCACAGACTCTTTTCACTGGTGTATCCGCAGTGAAAAATTACTAAAGAATCACACAATCTAAGAGGGTAGCATCAGCTGAAGCACCAGCTCAGCTATCAGGCAGCTCAGTTAGAGAGCAAGCAGGATGAAAGAAGTTTGTGTGCTTGTTTTAATAAGTTTTCAGTAATGAACAGGAAAAAAGTGTCATGTGCCTTTTTTTATAAAAGCAGTTGCCTTTGTCCCATGTTTGACTTATGTGCTATGACACATAGATCTATCCTTCAAAAAGCTGTTCCCATCCAGTACTATGAAGCTGATTATTTCTTCTTTAGCACAGTGTTTTGCCCAGGTTCTTGTTGAATATGATTTTTCCATTGCAAACATTTTCTTCCAACTTGTTATTTTGAATTCTGTCTCTTCATTGACCCACTTTCATATTTTCTTGTAAGTTCCTGATGTCTAATAATTAGATTGTTCCTTGATTCAGAACTTCTATGAGGATGCTGAAAACTGGATCCAGGATATATTCCTATGCAAGTCCAATGAGAATGTTTTTCATTTTGGTGGTGTGTTACTAATAATTACTTTCTGGTTATAAATTCCGCATAAACTTTGTTCATAATGAACCTTTGCTCGTAAACTAGATATGCTGGGGGAGGGGGGCATCATTCCATCCCAACACACCCAGTCAGTTGCCAGCACCTAAAATAAATGCTCAGAGCAATGTAGAGATATTCTGGCTGCTCCAGCCAATGAATCGGCTTCATTTGGAGCTTGGCTCAGATGCCTCTATACAAACGTGAGTAGCATGGGGAGCAAACGGGAGGAATTAGAGATGTGTGCATGTCTATGGGGGTATAATACGCATCGCAGAAACATGGTGGGACGGCTCCTGTGACTGGAGTGTTGGAATGGAAGGTTACAGACTCTTTAGAAAAGACAGGCCTAGCAGACACAGAAGGGGAGTTGCCCTTTATCTTAGGGATAGGCTGGAGAGTACGGAACGCCATCTGGGGAGAGGAGAGCAGTCGACAGAGAGTTTGTGGGTCAGGGTTAAAGGGGAAACAGTGATGGGAGACTTTACTGTGGGGATCTGTTATAGACCGCCTGATCAAGAGGAACCTGTGCATGAAGCACTCTACAGACAGATAAGAAAAACCTCACACTCACACAGGCCCTGTTCTCATGGGGGACTTCAACCACCCTGACATCTGTTGGAGTGATGGTACTGCCCAGCACAAGCAATCCAGGAGGTTCCTTGACTGTGTGGAAGACAACTTCCTTCTGCAAGTAATAGAGGATCCAACAAGGAGAGGTGCCATGCTTGACCTTGTGCTTACCAACAGGGAAGGGCTCGTTGGAAATGTGATGCGCCAGGGCAGCCTTGGTGGCAGCGACCACGAGATGGTCGAATTTGAGATCCTCAGGACATTGAGAAGAGCGTGCAGCAAGAGAGA